GCAAGTTTCATTCTTGACTTTGAAAACAGGATAAAACATTAGTTATTGTTTGAATCAGCCTAAGTGGATCATTTACAACTCTGCTATACTTAGCCTTTGGAATTAGAAGTAAAAGATCTCGGCGGCGCTGTGGCTCACGCCTGTAATCCTAGCTCTTGAGGCCGAGGCGGGCGGATTGCTCAAGGTCAGAGTTCAAAACCAGCCTGAGCAAAAGCGAGACCCCGTCTCTACTAAAAGAAAGAAATTAATTGGCCAACTGATATATATAATAAAGCCGGGCATGGTGGCATGCCTGTAGTCCCAGCTACTCGGGAGCTGAGCAGAAGGATCACTGGCCCAGGAGTTTGAGGTTGCTGTGAGCTAGGCTGACGCCACGGCACCACTCTGCCTGGACAACAAAGAGACTCTGTCTCAAAAAAAAAAAAAAAAAAAAAAAAAAAATAAGTATCTCTGCTTTCTGTACCAAAAAAAAAAAAAAAGTACATAGTCAAAACCAAAAACTGTCAACTACAAACAAGACATGGGCCGGGTACAGTGGCTCACACCTATAATCCTAGCACTCTGAAGTAAAGCAGGAGTTGATTGAGGTCAGAGTTCAAGACCATGTCTCTACAAAATAGAAAAATTGCATGCATGGTGCACCGTGTCTGGTTAACTTCTAAGTTTTTGTCATTTTAACTTTTTCAAATTATTCAAAGGTAGTAATCCCCTACCTGGAGCTGAGCAGGACAATCACCTGAGCCCAGGAGCTGGAGGTTGCAGTGAGCTATGATTACATCACTGCATTCTAGCAAGGGCAGCAGAGGAAGAGTCACCTAAAAAAAATTAAAATTAAACTAAAAAAAAAATATGGGAAAAAAGAAAATGTGTATGTTTTAAACTCTGATTTAAAATTTAAGAAAAAAAATAAACTAAAACTCCTGTATGTTTTAAATGTATACAAATGAACAGTTTGGAAACACAAGTTGTACTTTCAACACACAATTTTATAAAAATGATTACCTTCCATATCTTCATACTCCTATCTCCCATGTTAGGTATATACAGTTTCTCTTCATTTCCTTGAAAAGGGTTTCCTGTAGATGAATTATAATAGATAGTTTTTATGTTGTCTTCTCCAATATCATTTTTTAATAAAACAACAATCCTGACCAGTAAGAATTATTTATACATAATCCAGTATTCTTTATATTCTCCCATCAAAAACTACAGTCTATGGAAAGAGAAGCGTTATAATACTATTAGCAACACAAAAAGACTAAATGATAAGTTTGTGGCACAGACACAATTGAAGCTTCAGGAAAAAGATCAATTTGAAATGGAATTTTTGGAGAATTATGTATGTTCAGGAACTTAAGGCATTCAAGGAACCAAAAGTACAGAGAAATAAAATAGCACTTAGCTAGCCAATCTGACCAGACTAATGAGTCAGCAAGTGAGGGAAAGTGTGTGTACTGAGGAAGGGTAGGATGTAAGTCAGGACATCTGAATATCACAGTAAGGTAATAAAGAAATAAGCTCAGATCAATCCTATAGATCTTTCTGACAGGATCAAAAAATGACGTAAGTAATTTTATAAGATTGATATACCAGCAAAGTATAGAATTATTACACTGGGAGAAATAGAAGCGAGAGATTGATAGCTAGAGTAATGGCTATGAGTGAATTACAAAACAAATAAAGAACTGAAGAATTTCTGAGGTTGAGAGAAAATACAGGAAAGACTCAATGAACTTCTTCTGTCCTAAAGCTGGAGAAATATTAATAAAGAGGCCAAAATGAAAATGTCGAAGAAAGTCATTGTATGTGAGCTAAAATAAAATTTTTAAGACTCACCGCCCATGAATGGACCCTTCCTGGCCAAAGAATATCCTAAAACTAATTGCCTGCCAGGAGAGGAGGTCACAGACATGCTTATCATGCCTCCTTCCTCCTTTGTAACACTTAACAGGTAAGGCATGCAAGACAAACCTACAGGTCCTAATTTACACAACAAATATATGCCGTGTTTATCTCTCATAAACAGCTTCTATTTAAAACATACCAACTTTAGACAAAGCTTCATGTCTTAAACCAATTACAAGCCAAAGAATCTTAAATGCACCTATAACGTGTAAGTCTCCCCCATTGAGATGGCCCACCTTTCAGGCCAATGTCTGCCTACCATGTATTTATTTATGACTTTACCTGTAACCTGTCTCCCTGAAATGTATAAACAAACTGTAAAGCAAGGTTTCTTGGGTGGGTCTGGTCATGGTCCTCAAATTGGCTCAGAGTAATCTCTTTAAAATTTACAGAGTTGGGCTTTTTTTTTTTCCATTGACAGTATCAAAGAGAAAAATTATGAGATAAAATTATTATTTTTTAATAAACTCAAATATCCTTCTGGAACTAATGCAAGACACCTAATTACAGAAATGTCCAAATAAATTTTAGAATATTAGGACAAGAAATCCCAATTCATCAGTGTGATACTTCCATATGACAGGATTTTATCTATATTTCTAAAATAATTGACACATGGTAGTTCTACATTAAAGGTATGAATTGTCCGGAAATTTCATTTGGGAAATCCCTATTTGTTAAACAAGGAGATGCAAAGTCCCACACTTTGTTTAAAAAAACAGAAAATTCTCCGAAAAATATATTAATAAAAAGATAGAAAGTATTATTAGTAAACAGATACTATCTTAAGAGGGTCAAGTATATGGAAGATGAGTTATTGCATTTCTACCAGAAAAAAATAATTTGATCTGTTCTTCCTCTAAGGTTATTAACTTTTTTTAAAAAGTATGCATTTAAATTTTTTTAATTATGAAAAAAGCTGAATAAAAGAAAATTAGAAGGCAGTAACTATCAGAATTTGAATATAATACAGGGAAAGCTGTCTAAGATAGGGAGAAAATATTACTGTAAAATAATTTATGAAAGGCAGTATCAACTCTTTAGTGGAATGAAATCATGCTAGGGAATTAAAATACACTAATGTATTAACTGGGATTAATACTTATTCTCAGACTTACCTCTGCCCATTTAAGAATACAGGTCATACAGAACACATGATTACAATTTTCTGGAAAACCAACTTCCTTCTCTAATAGGCAATTAAGACATATGGGACATCTGTCAGCTTCACTGTACAACAGACCAGTAGTAGCAGTATCATCTCTATGTTCTTCTCCTGTAAAGTAAAACAGCTATATGTGCTTTCAAGTTCTCCAGACCAAATGACTTGTATTTCTGGGAGTACAGTGAACTCGATATTCTAAAGGGCTCTCTTACTACAAAACAAATTAGATCTTAGAAAAATTATAACAAACATACTCCTTGAGCCCACTACTCACAATACTTGCTTTTTTATATTTTTTAATGGAGGAGTGAAACAAACTTTTCATTAATTTAAAAATAAGTGATATTCACATGGTTCAAAAATTTAAATGTAAATTTACCCCCATCCATCCAGTTCTACCCAATCCAACAAGTAACAACTCTGTTCTTCCGAAGATTATATTTTAAAGCACAGAAAAACAAATCCTAATACATATTCTTCCATATTCCCTTTTACACACAGATGTTAGCACACTGTTTACACTGTTCTGGTTTGTTTTTTTTTAATCTATTGACAGACATTCATTGTTTTCAACCTCTGACTATGACAATATTGCAATGAAAAATTTGGCTACTTCACATTTTTAAAAGTATAGCTACAAGATAAATTCCCAAAATTGGAATTGCTAGATCAATATGTGTATACATTTACTATGAACAGATACCGCAAAATTATCCTTCTGTTTAGGATTTGTACTAACTTAAACTCTTACCAGTAAGATAACCAACTCATATAAAAATATACACTGCTGACTTATAAACAAATAAAAGATACTCTAAAATTCAACATAAAAATAAAACAAAAATAAACAGATTGTCAACTGAACTGTGAAAAGTATACAGCAAGCAAATGAAAAATCTGGAATTGTCCTGGGTGCAAATGTCTGTAATAGTGTTCAGATCTGGAGACTAAGTCTTAAGATCACCCTGGGGTTCTAAGGAGAAATGATCCTGAGAGATTCCAGTATTAAGCCAAGCCTCTCAAATGGGAGCTTCAAGTATCGGAATTTTCAAATACTACACAGAAATGATTAATCAGCTGGTCCAACCCAGAAGAATGAACTAGAAGACAAATGTGAGGAAACTACCTAGATGATAGAAAAGGAGATATAATCTGTGATAAGGCTAAAAAATGTGATCAGAGCAAGGTCTAACATACTAATTGAAATACAGAAAAGAATAAAGGAGAGGCAACAAAGAAGTAATGGCTGCAAAATAATTAAAAGCATGAACCAACAGATAAAGGAAACACAATGTATGATAAATATTGAGAAATGGAAATAATCCATGCCTAGACACAATGGTGCAAAGCTATACAACATCAAAGATGAAAACAAGATCTTAAAAGCAGAAAATAGAAAAAGATCTGCAAGGGAGTAACAATTGGACTGAGATTTCTTGACAGCAAGAAAAAAAAGAAAAAATAGTTAAATAGTATCTTCAAAGTACTAAGAGAAAAAAACTATCCATCCAGAATTATACACCCAGTAAAACTACCTTTGAATAATCTTGAAGAAGATAAAATAGACACAAAAACTTAGGGGTTTACCACCAACAGACCTTCGCTAAAGAAACTTCTTATTTTTTCAGGAAGAATAAAAGAAACAGAGAGGAAAGAAACCTAAGCAAACATTGTTTGCATAAAATATCTAATTTGTGGTATCTGAAATAAAAGAACCCGAACAACAGATAACTATAACCTATAAACTGTTAGTAGGATAATCAGCGTTAAAGTGTTCTAAAATTATTCTTGTGCTGACAGTGAAGATTAAATTAACTTTATAAGCAGAGAAAAGTATCAATGCTTACTTTTTTAAAAAAGATAACAAAATCAGAAACAGTAAAGAAAAAAAACTTTAAGAAGAAAAATAAAAGTAAATAGTTCAGATTTTGTCTTATCGGCTTCTCAGTAGAGGAGGCTTTTCGGCCTTGGAGCGGGCCGGGGGGGTTGGCGACTGTGTCGCCGGCATTTTCGTTGGTGGCTGCCAGGGCTGGTGGGAGCAGCCGCCCGAAGAAAGCACCATGATTTCGGCCGCGCAGTTGTTGGATGAGTTGATGGGCCGGGACCGAAACCTCGCCCCGGACGAAAAGCGCAACAACGTGCGGTGGGACCACGAGAGCGTTTGTAAATATTCTCTCTGTGGTTTTTGTCCTGCGGAACTGTTCACAAATACTCGTTCTGATCTTGGTCCATGTGAAAAAATTCACGATGAAAACTTACGAAAACAGTATGAGAAGAGTTCTCGTTTTATGAAAGTTGGCTATGAGAGAGATTTTTTGCGATACTTACAGAGCTTACTTGCAGAAGTAGAACGTAGAATTAGACGAGGCCATGCTCGTTTGGCATTATCTCAAAACCAGCAGTCCTCAGGGGGATAACTAAGAAATTTCAGGCGATGTAATATACTATCCCTTTATGTAGCACAATAATTTATTTGTCATATCTAATAGTCTGATAGCTATTTTCACATTTCCTCCTTTAAGAATACTAAGCTTGGCCGGGCGCGGTGGCTCACGCCTGTAATCCTAGCTCTTGGGAGGCCGAGGCGGGCGGATTGCTCAAGGTCAGGAGTTCAAAACCAGCCTGAGCAAGAGAGAGACCCCGTCTCTACTATAATAGAAAGAAATTAATTGGCCAACTGATATATATAAAAAAAAAAAAATTAGCCGGCATGGTGGCGCATGCCTGTAGTCCCAGCTACTCGGGAGGCTGAGGCAGAAGGATCACTTGAGCCCGACGGA